GATAACTCATCTGATATATGAGAGTCCATGTTTAAAGTGGATAACCTACTAAACATTTATGTAATGCTTTATATTTGTTTTCATCATTTTCTTTATAGGCAATGGCTCCCAGACATTTCTTTATAGTGGAAATGGGGAATATATTTTTCTCTCTTTCACTTTCCTTTTAATACTACCTTTAATAATTCTCCTTCAGGAAAATTATAACCATTTCTTAAGAAATGTTACGTTGTTACACACTATTCTTCACCCATTAAATAATTAATAAATATCTGAGAGATGACCTAAGCAAGTTGTTAAATTCAATTCAGTCTATTTATTCCACACCTCAGCAAGCATCTACTGAGCAGATGATGTTTATGCTAGAGGGCTCGGTGGGGACTCTACAGGTGAATTATAAAAGTTTCCTGTCTTTGATGAGTAAAGGTAAATGCAAACCAGTGAAATTTAATATACAGGATGATAACGTCACCAGGAAGGGACAGAACACTGATATGAAAAGATTTCACAATGACTTTGTTGTGCTCCTAGGTCCTCAAATGCCTGAAATATACCCAACCCAAATGTGGAAAGGTATTCTCCTGTCGTTTCTTTGTGGCATGAATGTCCATTCTCTGAGGGTCACTGTCTTTTCTAAATCCCAGAAGTAACATACATGTAAACTCCTTGAAAAAAATCCATTAAATCAAGTAACTCATAATACATAACCTACTTAAAAATACATCTTTATAGTTCTGCTGTAGCCCTGTATGGTTTTTGAGATGAAGTCATCAAACATACCCTATTGAACTATACTGTCCAGTACTGAAGCAATATGTTAAGTTAGTCAATAATTCATTTGTATCATAATACATAGACATGACTCTACAATCGACTTTTACGCTACAGACTGTCTATCCTGTGGTTAAGTCAACTTCCCAGGATAGTTTCTGCCTAGTCAGTGAATGCTGGGCACCAGGATCTGTGTCAACATCAACATTTCTCATTTCTGTATAGCCAGATGGTCTGTGGTCCTTCTTGGTAACCAATTGATTATTTTCCTTTAGAAAACACATCCTGGTACAAAATTAGGTTAATGTTTTGACTTTTGGCTCCTTTTCCTTGTGTTTACTATTTACAGTTTAAAATTGTTAAAAATCATTAAAATCATTTTAGAATTTTAAAAAGTTCTGAAATTATACTGTATCTTTCCATTTTCAATAGGAAAATTTCAGCTGCATTGCAGCACAATTATTTTCCATATTTTAGGTTTTAATAAATTTACTTTGGAACTTTGATCCTATAAAGAAGAATGCTTAAAGATGTAGGAATGCATTTTCCTTTTTAAAAATTCTGTGTTGTACTCTGGTTCTTGGAGTTTAGTTAACCCTCTGAATTAATAAAATGTGTGTGGGTGTTCTAATACACCTTTCACTTGTTTGTAAGTAAAAGATAAATTTACAAATCAAAAAGGACTGAGACCTGAACTAAAAATAAGATGTATAGTTTGTCAAGGCAAAGTTTCCACATAAAGCATTTTATGGGTCTAGCAATTTTTCTGAAATAGTCAATTACTTCTTTAGGTAAGATAGATCTGAATACTTCCAGAGAATAATTTGAAATAATGACGTGTATGATTTTTAACTTTTCCATGGATAAAATTACTAAAATGCCAAAGGACCCTAAAGACCTGACTTAGCACTTCTTTCTTATGCTGATAAGAAGATTTGCCAATTTTATCTGTCAATTATTTAGAGCTTGGAATGGGGGCAAGGAATGTAGGCAGCCATATGTTCCTTCTGTGTCTGCCTTGTGTGACCCTATTAGTCTACATTACAGCACATGCACCAAGGGTCTGTTTTATTCTAGTACAGCTTTTGGAAATAACCAAATGAGCCAATCTTTTCTGGTTAAACTGGTAGATCATACCTATAGAACATATACTGGTGTTTGTTTGTTAAGGGCATTCAGAGTAGTTCTTTGTGGTATAGCAAGTTTGCTCATTGCTGTTGAACTGTTCAGGTGAGAGAGTTGAAAAGGGAGAAGCATCCAGTGCTGCAAGGTGAAGGGGGATGGCATGGTGTGAGAAAGAAAGAAAGAAAGAAAGAAAGAAAGAAAGAAAGAAAGAAAGAAAGAAAGAAAGAAAGAAAGAAAGGAAGGAAGGAAGGAAGGAAGGAAGGAAGGAAGAAAGAAGGGAGGAAGGAAGGAAGGAAGGAAGGGGAAGAAAGAAGGAAAGAAAGAAAGAAAGAAAGAAAGAAAGAAAGAAAGAAAGAAAAAGGAAGGAAGGAAGAGAGAAAGAAAGAGAGAAAGAAAGAAAGAAAGAAAGAAAGAAAGAAAGAAAGAAAGAAAGAAAGAAAGAAAGAAAGAAAGAAAGAAAGAAAGAAAGGCACGGAGATCACCTCAGGAATCAAAGCAGGGAGACCAGGGAATACATCTCGGGGGACAAAGGTCCCTAGTTCATCTCCCAAGCAGTTTTTATTATCCAGCATGACAGTAATAGGAAAGCAGTAAACTTTATACATAATTAGTGATGAGTAAATAAGTTTCTTCTGTATCACAAAGCAGTATCATTATGGTAGAAAAGTAACCCTGAGCTAAACAAGAACTTAAGCTAGGATCCTTGAGTCAACTAGCTACTTTCTTATCTTGGTCTGGTAGAAGGGATGGGGAGCCAAGCTGAGTGCAAACTCTTTAGCTAACATTCTTGAGAAAATTTATCTTTGTTTGTGACCAGGGTCAGGAAGAGGGGGCCAGGGCCACTGTTTTCCCATGCATGCCCCTGCACTGTGCTTAAGTGGCCCTTGCCACTTAGGCCTGGTGCTTTGCCTTAGGGTGCCTTCAGCCTTGATTAGCGAGGTCAGTGTCCCTGAGAGAAAAACACTAATATATTTATGTTACATTTGCATAGATATATTTTCATCCCTCCTGGTACAAAACAAAATAAGTCTATGTTCTACATTACCCGCCCCTCAGATATGGGAAATATATCGGGTCTGCAGACTGCATAAGGCTTTTGAAATAATTTGTTGCATGATGGGATAGAAGCATACCTTTTTCGTTCTCTGCATCCTGGCCATCTGTCCATACTGACAATTTTGTATGACCTGCAAATGATACTATAAATTTCCAAATGACCCTTGACAGCAAAAAGATTCACCATCCTTGGAAGAAGGCAGCAAATAGCCTATTAATTAGCTCTATATTACTCTAAGTTTAACAGTGCTGTACACCACCAAGGACATAGAAGTGGATGCCACAAAATTATGGAACAGAGACATGTGAAGTCCAGAAAGAAACAGCCAGTGTCCACAAAATGCCTTTCAGAGGAGCTCTGGATTGTCAAACACAAGGAAGATTTCTAGTAAGGTCTACATAGAGGCAAAGAAATTGGAAACAGAGATGCTTTCTGGCAATTAAATTTAACTATACTTATGAAAATAAATAAGTAAAGAAGAAAAGGAAAACCTGTGTGTCTTGTTTCCCATTAACTGAAGTTAAATTTTTGCTCAGAATAAAACATAAAACTTACCTAATAACTATGGGATAAGGAATATTTATATTACAATATTTTTGTGCTTGTTTATGAGAGATACAAGTTGGCATATAAATCTATGTGTATGCTCTCTATGTATGTGTTTGTTTTGTTTTGTTTCTATTCCTTTTAGTTTGCTTGTTTTGTGCCAGTCAGGTAGCTTGAACTTAGACCCTGGGTGCTAGACTTGACCTTTTGTGCTCAAGGCTAGTACGTTACCACTTGAAAAACTCTTCCACTTCTGGCGTTTGGGGTAGTTTATTGGAGATAAGAGTCTCATGGGTTTTCCAGCCTGGCTTGAAACCACAATCTTCAGATTTTAGCTTCCTGAGTAACTAGGATTACAGGTATGAGCCACCAGCACTTGACTCTATTCCTGTTTTTGACCCAAGAGAGACTTGGATTTGACACATCATAATAGATATGGTGTTTTAACTTGTTCTCCTGTCTGTGGTCTTGCTATTTTCGTTCTGCTTATACCCCAGAGTTTTGTACAGCTGACTCTGAGTTGTGAACAGGTCTGGGATTATCTTTCTATAGGGAAGATGTCAATCTTACCAGAGAGGAATGATTGGAAGGTGGTTCTTGTTTTCTTGATTTCTTGTTGTTCATTGCTAGGTTTTTGCTTTGGTTAGAAAATTGAAGGAAATAACTTCATTTGCCAGGTGGGTTTACCTCTTCTCTTTTCCAGTAATGCATTTTCTTTACCCCTTTTTTCTGAGCTTCATGTTAGGTTTCTAAAACATTTATCTTTTACCTTTATTGTAATGAAAAGTGAAAAAAACATTTCCCTTCATCTCCTATGAAAGATGGCAATTATATAACGTGGCCCAAAATGCTAGTAGCCAGCTATCTTGCTATCAATTGACCTGGTATCCTCTGCAGATGGAGTGAGGCTTAAGCCCAATGATGTTTGCTTTGATTTACTTGATACAACATCTATCCACTTACTCTCAGGACTGCTTGCACATATGTCATTCCAATCTCTTAAGGTTCACAGTGAACCCTAAAATCTGCACTAATTCCTAACAGTGGAACCAAGCTTGAACCTACCATCAGGCAAGACTATAGGATACACACATGAAATAATAAATACAGCTTGAGATGGAGTAAAGCCACCATAATATCAATTATATCACTCTCAAAGCACTAAAGCAGATGGAGTTTTATCTGAATGACATTTCCCTAAACAATGAGAAGATAATCCTGTGGGAAGTCAGTATTCATTTAACTTTATTGGCCTGAATTTCTCATATCCGGTTGTTTATTGCTGAATTGAATCTAATATAATGACATTTGTCCATTGGATGGTAATTAGATCTTAAAGGAAACAGCAGAAATACTTAAGACTTGGAAGAAATGTCATGGCAATGATTTATAATGCATATAATTGTCTTTCTTGATTGGTCATGTTGAGTCCAGTCATGCAGAGAATGAGAACAGATGCAGTTATGGTTAGGGTACTAATATTATTGTTCTGCTTTATCAGATGTGTTGTAGAAGACAAGAACTCGAAGGTGGCTTGGTTGAACCGTTCTGGCATCATTTTTGCTGGACATGACAAGTGGTCTCTGGATCCCCGGGTTGAGCTGGAGAAACGCCATTCTCTGGAATACAGCCTCCGAATCCAGAAGGTGGATGTCTACGATGAGGGTTCCTACACATGCTCAGTTCAGACACAGCATGAGCCCAAGACCTCCCAAGTTTACTTGATCGTTCAAGGTAAGAAAGATATGGGATAGGAGGTTAAAAGGTGAAAAAGAAAGGGAAATGTGGATATGGGAACAAGTGTTATTGGCAAAATGGGTTTTTAAAAGATATATGATTGTACTTACATATATATTTTTCCTTCTAGAAGTCTAAAATAGACTTAAACTGAGACTACAGAGAATATCCATGACACTGTAAGCCAGTAGCTTAATATCTTTGGTAAGACTATTTTCTCTTAGACACAAGGAAAAGGCAAAAAAGATAATACAGAACACACATATAACATTAAAAAAAACAGTGAATGCTTAGAACCCCAAAGAGTTCACTTTATTATACTGCCAGGGAACTGATGGTTTGATTGATTTAAGAAAGATTGTCACCAGGCACTGGTGGCTTATGCCTATGATCTTAGCTACTCAGGAGGCTGAGATCTGAGGATTGTTGTTCGAAGCCAGTCTGGGCAGAAAAGTCCCTGTGAGACTTTTATCTCCAATTAACCACTCAAAAACTAGCTCAAAGTGGTAACCTTGAGGAAAAGAGCTCAGGGACAGTACCCAGGCCCTGAGTTCAAGCCTCATGACCAACAAAAAAGCAAAAAACAAAGCTTGTCACTGGACATGATGATGTACACTTGTAAACCCAACTTCCCAGGAGACAGAGACAGGAGGAACAAGTTCGGAACAGCCACTACAAAGTTTGTGAGACCTTATTTCAAAAAATAAACTATATACAGGACTGGGGTTATGTCTCAAGAGATAGAACTTGCCTAGGCTTTGGGTTAAATCCAAGTTTGTTTTTACCTATTTTTGTCCCAACAATTGTCCTTAATTATCTGTTTTTATGATGGTAAATTCTTTTAGAATGCATTAAAGTTCCCAGAGGTCTTAACACATTCTCATCTGTTCAGCTTTCTCTATAAATTTTATCTTGAGTACCAAGTTACTTGCGAGCAAGGATCTAATGACAAAGATCTACAAAGTCATTGGGAATAATTTGCTTTTCGATTGGGGTTTCAAAGTTATATCTGAGCCATGGTTTTATAGAGTGAAAATGGTATATACATGTCTCAAGCTATAGTTCTCTTTGTCCTTTTCTCTGTAATTACAGAATGAAAACAAAGCTGATTAACCCCACAATTTTTATTGTTGAAGAAGTCAAACCACCAACAGTTTATCTATCTATCAGGGAAGATACTAACAAATACTAATAAATATTAAGACTGTGTTCATGTGGTCTTGATTTCCAATTTCATGTATATTATTGCAAATTAAGCATGGCCCTAGGATTCCTGTCTTGATTTCAGTGTAGTCAGTGGTGTGGTATAGTTTGAATGTAGCTTCTGTTAATGTGTGATGGAATTGATTACTGCAGCATTTTAATTTTCACTCTTCCATATCCTCTGATTAATAGATTAAAACTGGAATAAAATACATGAGAGACTTCCACATGCAAGAGTAGTTTAGTCATGTGACCTCTATCTTGGTCCATTTGCAATGGCTGACAAGTTTATTTTATTCCTTGTGAAAACCATGTCTCCTATTTTGCAAAGTTGTAATCACAGGATGCTTTCCTTATAGTCTAGAGGGAAGTATTTGAGCTCTGTGATATGAGACACTGGATTTTAGATCTCAGGAAATTTATTTAATGTGTAAGTATCACTACAGATATGCAAATGTATTCATGGGCTAACATACCAGTGCCCTCAAAACACAAAGAACACAGTCATATACTACTCTCTCAACACAAAAGGTGAATTTCTACCTGACTCAGTGGCAGAGGGAGGAATGCTTGCTGGCTTGCTTACGGGTCTAACGACCCATATTGAGATTAGATCATATTTATTTTCTTCTTTAACTTTTGAATTGTTTCATCAGTATATTTCTTTATAATGAATTGTGCTTTTAAAATCCTGCTTAAGATATTTCCACACAATTTTATTACTTTTACAGCTTTTACTGTCACTAAAAACCTGATAGAGAGCAAGCTTAGTATTTTGTGTTTCACTAGCCGGGTATCTGTGGCCCATGCCTGTAATCCTAGCTATTCAGGAGGCTGAGATCTGAGGATTAAGGTTCAAAGCCAGCCCAGGCAGGAAAGTCCATGAGACTCTTATCTCCAATAAACCACTAGAAAATCAGAAGTGGCGCTGTGGCTCAAGCAGTAGAGTGCTCGCCTTGAGCCAAGATACAAAGACAGCTCCCAAGCCCAGAGTTCAAGCCCCATGACTGACAAAAACAAAAACAGGTGTGAGCCATCAGTGCCCAGCTTGGATGTCTTCCTTCCTTCCTTCTTTCTTTCTTTCTTCCTTTTCCTTCTTTCCTTCTTTCTTCCCCTTCCTTCCTTCCTTCCTTCCTCCCTTCTTTCTTTCCTTCTTTCTTTCTTTCCTTCTTCCTTCCTTCCTTTCTTTCTTTCTTTCTTTCTTTCTTTCTTTCTTTCTTTCTTTCTTTCTTTCTTTCTTTCTTTCTTTCTTTCTTTCTTTC